TGAGAATCATCTTGACCAGGGAAGGCCTACGTTGTTCTATAGTTCTAGCGTTTTCTCTTTATCTTTTCCTAGCTAGTACTGACTTGCCCTCTGCTCTGTAAAACTGAGAAACGAAGCATTTTTACTACGAAGGTGCTTTTTAGTGACCTGGGCCACGTGTCACTTGCCATTCCCAGCTTCCTTTCCAGTCACTGGCAAGTGGTTGTTTCCATAATAGTAATCCCAGGACACAGAGCAGTCATTCAGGAGTGTGGGGATGTGTGCACATGTGCCGATGGCCTCTGTCGGCAGTGGGCTGGGAGCTCATGTTTGCCCAGAATGCTCTGGCAGATAGGACGTTTGTGTCTGTAGGTGGCCACTACACTACTTACAGGTGTGCAGTGGGTGTCTCGGTCACTTTCTCACTGGTGAGACACAGTTGAAAGGAGGAGAGGTTTATTTTGGCTCCGAGGTTTCAGTCTATAGTTGGCTGGCTCCAGGGCAGGGTAGCATGTCAGTGGGACATCACAGAAGAGAAACTGCTCTGTGGTAGGGTGGGCAGGAAGCAGGGAGGGGGAAGGAGACAGACTCTTGCATGCCACACCCTGGTGACCTACTGCTAGCCTGGCCTCTCCTCTCAGCTTCACACGTGGCTGAAAGCTGACCGGTGGACTCACCCACACTGCCCTGTGATCTACTTACCTCCCTAGGTCCCACCTAAGAGCACACAGGCTTTGGGGCATTGAGATGGAAACATTGGCCGTGGGCATGCACAGCCTCAGCTTCCCTCACTGTTACCTGTATCCACATGTGGAGTCTGTCACTGGAGCAGAGGCCCAAGCAGCCCCATCTCGGTCTTCTCACCAACATCTACCTCTGCCCTTTTGGTTTGGGACCCCAGGCCTCCTCTGATGTGTTCACATGCCTATACTGGTAGAGAGAGGGGTTTTCTGGCACAGAATTTTGTCTGCAGCGTCCCTTGATTTTCTATATTCTTGAGACAGGGTCTCACTGTGTACTTCAGGCTGGCCTCGAACTCAGCAATACCTCCCAAGTGCTGGAATTATAGGTGTGTACCACCATGCCTGTCTTGACATTCTGAAAAATGATTGAACATTTTTTGTGAGTTACATCCATTCACAATTACTGTATTAGAAGTGAAACTAGAAATTAAAATTTTCCTATTCATTTCTTTAAATCACAAACTTTTTCATGTTAGCTTAGTTTCCCAGGGCTGCTGTTCCAAAGAAAGTTTAACCAATTGGGAGCTGTAAGACAGAAGCCACAGGTACAAAGGTCAGCAAGTTTGTTCCTCTGGGGATCCTGAAAGAATCTGTGCCTGCCTCTCAGCTCTGGCAGCTTTGGGCAATCTTGAGCTTGTGGCTGCATCAGCCCAGTCTCCACTGCCCTCCGCACAGGGTTTTCTGCCCATGGACCTGAGCCTGTGTCCCTGTCTCATGAGGATCTGCGTCACTGGACTTGGGGACGTCCCTGTGCACAATGACCTCATCATTAGATGACGCCTGCAAAGATCTTTACCTTTCCCCGCTTCTAGCAGCTGTCCCATCCCTCCCCTCATGACCTACATCGTTTTTATTTGCAGTGTCATCTCACCTTTCCCTCTCTCCTGCCATCCTTCTGCTCAGCTAGGGCCCACCCGCAAAGTACAGGACAGTCTGCCCATCTCAAGATCCTTGCTGTACTCACACCTGCAGCGTTCTGCCATGTAAGGAGATACAGCCCTAAGCTCTGGGCATCAGAACCTGGTGACTTGGCGGCAGGAGTCTGCCTTTCATAGCTCAGGAAGATGCTGCTATACTGTAATAAAATTAGGTAAATATGGTCCTCCCACAACGTCTTGTACCTTAGATCTAGGAACCTGAGTAAGCAACTGTTGTCCTTTCCTATGTTGGGAGCTTTCAACTTCTGGCTAGAAGGAAGCACTGTTCAGCTCCTGGCACGTCTGAATTACCAGCATCACTTCGCTTGATCTTGGGCTATCGTGCAGCTCCACGAGGTTACTAGAGTGCAAGCACCGTGTGCTGCAGCAGTCTTCTGACCCCCGAGCGGGCTGCTGAAGGCTGAGTGCCACGGGTGCGTAGCCCAGACAGTGTGGGTGTGCAGGAGGGGCAAGTTACATTCCAGGCCAGATGGAGGAGGGTGGCACAAAATTTCAGCCGTTCAGAATGACGTAACATTCAAACCTTACAGATAGATTCTCTGAAATGTTCCATTTAATAACTTGGGACTGGGGCTGGTGAGATGGCTCAGTGGTCTAAAGCGCCTACTTAGAACAAGCTTAGCAAAGCACAGGGACCAAGGTTCAATCCCCCAGCACCACATGCCAGCCAGGGCCGCCCCCTGGTGGGCTGAGCTGGCCACACACACACACACACACACACACACTAAATAAATAAAATTAAAATAATAAAATAATAATAATAATAATAATAACTTGGGACTGT